GCACTGTTACTTGCTCTACTACCAATGCTAGATTACTCAATAAGAAGGTAAGCATGGGCTTACATTTACTTACATAGTAATCTATAGTGAACAGTTTCACATAGAGTTCATGTGAGCACAAGGTCCATGTGACACTGTTCATGGTAAGCCCTGCTTACCTGTGCTTACTGGGTTTTTGTTCCTCTCAAGGTTTGCACATTTGAAAAGAGACTTTGATTCGGTAGGAAGGTGCTGGAGGGTTAGAAGAGAGACAGGCCTAGAAGCCGAAGCTCTGATGTGGTGAAAAATATTAAATTGTTCACTACAGATTACTAAGTAAGTCCATGCTTACCTTGCTTATTGAGTAATCCAACATTGCTACCACTTCTCATACCAATGAAGCACCTTTGTCCAAAATATTGTAGGCTGGGTACCTCACACCCAGGTCAGACTTTATAGAAACGTTATTAAGTGCCGTCAAGTCGGTTCCAACTCGTAGTGACCCTGTATAGCGTTTTCAAGGAGCAGCTGGTCAGCTTGAACTGCTGACCTTGTGGCTAGCAATCCAGTGCTTATCCGATGGTCCTACAGCACCATACCAGGTAAGGCTGTGTGCTCCTATAAGGATTTACAGCCTCAGAAACGCTAAGGAGATATTCTGTCCTGTAGGGTCCAAATGAGTCCAGATCTGTGTGATGGTGGTGGGTTTGTGTTCAGCCGCTTACCTCCACTATGTCATTGGAGTTGTTGTGAGGTGTTGTCAAGTCAGTTCTGATTCACAGGGGCTCTATGCACAACAGAACAAATCATGGCTCAGTCCTGGGCCATTCTCACAATCATTGTTATGCCTGAGCCCAATGCTGCTGCATTGTGCCAATCCAGCTCATTGGGGGTCTTCCTCTTTATTTGCTGACCCTCCACTTTACCAAGCATGATGTCCTTCTCCAGGGACTAATCCCTCCAGATAATATGCTCAAAGTATGAGAGATGACGTTTGATCATCCTGGATAATAAAGAGCATTCTGGCTGTACTTCTTCCAACACAGATTGGTTTGTTCTTCTGGCAGTCCATGGTACTTTCAATATTCTTCTCCAACACCATAGCTCAGATGCATCAGTTCTTCCTTATTCATTGTCCAACTTTCACGTGCATATAAGGCTATTGAAAATACTATGACTTGGGCCTGGCTCACCTTAGTCTTCAAACTGATATCTTCCTCTGAACGTTTTAAAGAGGTCTTGTGCAGCAGATTTTCTTAATGCAATATGTCATTTGATTTCTTGACTGCTTCCATGAAGGTTTAAAGAGTAAAATGAAGTTTTTCACAACTTCAATCTTTCCTACATTTATCATGATATCATTTATTGGTCCAGTTCTGAGGATTTTTGTTTTCTTTACACTGAGATGCAATCCATACCAAAGACTGTGGTCTTTGATCTTCATTAGTAAGTGTATGAAGTCCTCTTAGCTTTAAGCGAGCAAGGTTGCATCATCTGCACATCACAGGTTGTTAATGAGTCTTCCTCTAATCCTGATGCCTCGTTCTTCTTCATATAACCCAGTTTCTCAGATTATCTGCTCAGCATATATGTTGAATGAGTATGGTGAAAGAATACAACCCTGATGCAAACCTTTCATGATTTTAACTATTCAGTGTCCTCTTGTTCTGTTTGAATGACTGTCTCTTTGTCTATGTATAGGTTCCTCATGAACACAATTAAGCATTCTGGAATACCCATTCTTTGCAATGTTATTCATAGCTTGTCATGATCCACATGGTTAAAAACTTGTATATAGTCAATAGAGCACAAATAAACCAGTATTCTCTGCTTTCAACCAAGATCTATCTGACACCAGCAGTGATATCCCTCATTCCATGTCCTCATCTCAATTCAGCTTGAACCTCTGGCAGTTTCCTGTTGATGTACTGCTGTAGCTGTTTTTGAACTATCTTCAGCAAAATTTTACTTGCATGTGATAATAACAATAATGTCTGATGAATTCTGCATTCTGTTAAGTCAACTCTCTTTGAGATCTATATGGCTCTCTTCCAATAAGTTGGATAGGAAGCTGTCTTCCAAATGTCTTGGCATAAATGAGTGAGTGCCTCCAGTGCTGCATCAGTTTGTTGGAAGATTTCAATTTGTATTCCTTCAGTACCATTGGCTCTTGATCATGTGTTACCTCTTGAAATAGTTGAACATCGACGATTTCTTTATGGTACAGTGACACTCTGTATTCCTTCCATCTTCTTGTGATGCCTTCTGCGTCATTTAATATTTTGCCCAGAGAATCCTTAAATATTGCAAGTCGAGGTGTGAATTTTTTCTTCACTTCTTTCAGCTTGAGAAATGCTGAAAGTATTCTTCCATTCTGGTTTTCTAACTTCAGGTCTTTCTACATTTTGTTATAATGTTTTGTCTTCTTGAGCTGCACTTTGAAATGTTCTATTCAGTTCTTTTACCTCCTCATTTCTTCCATTTGCTGTAGCATCTCTAAGCTGAAGAGCAAGTTTCAGAGTCTCTTCTGACATCCGTTTTGTTTTTTTCCTTCTTTCTTGTCTTCTAAATGACCTTTTGCTTTCTTTCTGTAAGATGTTCTTGATGACCTTCCACAACACCTCTGATCTTCAGTTATTAGTGTTTAATTCATCAAATTTGTTCCTAAAATGATTTCTTCATTCAAGCGGGATATGTTCAAGATCATATTTTGGTTCTCATGGACTTGTTTTAACTTTCTTCAGCTTCAGCCTGAACTTGCATATGAGCAATTGATGGTTCCACAGTCTGCCCCTGGCCTTGTTTTGTTCGATGACATGGAGCTTCCTACTGTCTTCCTAAAAATGTAGTAAATTTGATTTCTGTATATTCCATGTGTATGTTGTTGTTGTTAGGTGCCATCGAGTCAGTATCTACTCATAGCGAACTTACACACAGCAGAATGAAACACTACCCGATCCTGGGCCAACTG